CATTTAAGTACAGATATGTACCTTTTTTCTTGCTATTTATCGGCTGCACTTCATTTATCTAAGCTATAGAGAGGTGTGTATGTGTGTTTGTGCTTTTTTTTGCAATTGCTGTTGATGCATTGGTGTTTTTGTTGCTTTTGTTCGGCCGATAAGTGGCTCTGTTGTCGTAATGTGGTTGTTGTTGTTGTTATTGTTGGGGTGGCGGTGGCGGTGGTGGTGCTGTTGCTGTTTGTTTTGTCCACATTTATCAGTCAGCGAGCGCATTTGTTTGTCATGCCTTTTACTGTTTCTGTTTTTTACGATAGCAAATTTCAAGTTGTGCGCAACTTTCGACGCTCGTTGTTTTGTTTTCTCATTTGAAGTTGAAGTGTGACCCTGGCCGTGAATGTTGGGTATTGCGCTTTATAATAATAATAATAATACATACGTACATATGCATATACTACATGATATCCATGAATCCAAAAATGAGTTGTGGCTGCTGTTGAAGAACGGAAATGGCAGCAACAATAGGCAACACAGCATTAGCGGGCGTATTGCAATAAAATACAAGTACATTACTTGTGCAATACTCGATTGCTTTACATCCTACTTGCATGCATACATACATACATACATAGTCGTAGGTAGAGCGATAAGGTGCACACTTGTTCTAATGAAATGACAGCAAGCCAGAATACAAAACAATAATAAGCCTCAATAGAAATCAACAAGCGCAAGACAAGTCAAGTGCCTGAACATATGTACATACATACATACATACATACATATGGGTGCATGGGGGAAAAATTGCCTTGCGAAGCAGTTGCTCAAGGCATGTCCGGAAATTGTACCAGAGCTACAATAACAGCAACAAAAACAACAAAGTGGACAGGATCTTACAATACCCAGTGCAGAAAAGGTAAAAGGCTATACTAGAAAACAGCCATGGATGTAGGGGACTAAAATTTGGTGTCCCTAGGTTTTATAGTCTCTCTGATATAGGCGATTATACGAGTTGAAAATCAATAAAATAAACAAAGTTGCACATCGTACACACATAACACATCTTTGTGCAAAATTTGGAATCTCTAGCTCTTTAGTCTCTGAAATCCAGGTGTTCATACGAACAGACAGGACTAGATCGACTCGTCTTGTCACGCTGATCAAGAATATATATACTTTGTGGGGTCTGCCACGCCTCCTTCTGCCTGTTACATTTTTCAGCTCGCGCAAACCTAATACATATACATATATGTATGTACATAAACCAAATTTGAAGTTGATTTGTGGAAAATGCGGATTTTTCAAACAAACTTTGGAGCTCGATTTTCTCCACTTGGAACTCAAATTTTCCAAAAGCCCTTCTTAGTTGGCACCTACACTATGATAGGATACTTGAGCTTAAAATTTAGCTTCCTAGCTCTTACCGTATGTTGATTATGTTTCAATTTTTCCACAGGAAAACCCCCCTTTTTCATGTCCCAAGAAATATGGTGAAAAACCCGTGTTTTTTTTATTCTTTCATACCAAGTTTGAAGCCAATCGAATGAAAATTGCAGATTTTTCATACAAACGTTGAAGCCCGTGTTCCCCCTTTTGGATTTCTGTGAATGAAAACTTGTGTCCAAATTTTAGCTACCTAGCTCTTTCCGTTTGGGCTGTGCGTTGATTGCCAATCAGTCAGTCAGGACAAACTGTTTTATACATGCATATATATAGTGATGTAGCTTCCATAGGAGTGATCGGTAAAAGTATCTTCCCATAGCCTGACTATGGTTATTTAATTGAATTACCATAATCAAAAGTTTCATCAAAATCGGTTAACTTTATTATATAGCTGTCATATAAAGATACGCAAACCCTTAACAATCAGTACAAAGTTAAGCATTTATCGGTGCTTTATAATGCCACACTATAAACTGAATAATGTTTAAGTGGGGTGGGTACAGGGTATACAACAGTCGCACTCGTGCGACTTGTACGCTCTACTCGTGTTATCTATTAAATAAATTAAGCCTTTTTTCATGATATACAAATATATATTTATGTATGCTTAAGGTTGTGTCATAGTATATTAACCGTTTTGTCATGCAATTGCGATATAAAAAACATTCACACATATACGTATGTATACGTATATAGTACGTATACTTATATACATATCTATATAACTATATAGAACGCAATCGAGTTATGGCTTCCACCAAATTACAAATGGATAGATTATTTGTATAGTCTATACCCAAAGGGTAAAAGGCTATACTACTATTATACTATTGATCAGGATGACAAAACGAGTCGATATAGCCCTGTGCGTCTGTCTGTATGAATGCAAGGATCTCAGAAAGTATAGGAGCTAGAATAACCAAACTTTGTATCCAGATTCTTCCAAGTCCGAGAAAGTACGAGTATGACTTTTTCCCGATGCACCCTTCAAACTCCCCGCTCTAAGTGATTTTGTACAACTCCCGTAATTCTTGGAATATCGAAATTTGCTGACTACATCCCATTAGTGATTATGTGTTCGTATGTCAAATTTCAATATGATAGATCAATTATGAAAGTTAAGTTAAGAAAGTTATAGCCATACATATAATCTCTGTCAAAGCTCTGCCCGCAGCTGTTGTTGATGTTGTGGGAGTGAGTACAAGCTATTTCAAATTAAAAATGTTTAAGAACTAATATCAATAACTCAACATCTTAATTATTTTTATGATACTAAATATAATTGTTCTAATGCATTGTTATTCTTTCCAATAAAAAAATCTTAAAAATATATGTATAACCAGACCAATTTTTTAACATGTTGAATATGAAGACCTATGCCTTCTAATATTTCAATCTTTGTGTAAACTCTCAAAAACGCTGTAATAGTAATTATAGTAGGAACAAATGAGGAACACTTCTTGGGGGTTAACCCTAATAATATTATAGAGCTTTTACAGTTCAACGAACTATATAGCAAAAAACATCAAAATCCAAAAATACACCCACTCATTTGGAGACTTCTTTAATTGTGTTGTGAAATAATTGTCTTGATTTGATTTTCTCTTCATGAAATTACGTAAAAAGCAGACAGTTAATCAAGCAAACTATGGAAAGTTCATTGCCTTATTGTACAGTTACGCTATCTTCACTATTAATGACCCTTCGTCATCATAATGATCATCATGATTGCAGTCATTGGCTGCATTTTGAGCTTGTACTGCTGTTCGCTCGTTGTGTCCGTCAATCAAAGAGCTTTGCCTCTCCCTCCCATTTGTCATGTTCATAACAAATCCAAGGTTTTATGTAATTGTTAGTTTTATTTCGTTGCTTTCGGCGACTATAGTTGGTGGGCCCAGCACAAAGTATAAAGGCGATTTCTTACAATCGTGATTTAGCCACAATTGCCGGGGAACAACTGACGAACTTGGCCAGTTCGGCGGACAGATCGACTGCCCGGCCGCCTGTCTGCCCCACTGGCTTTCTTATAAGTGTTGTTGAAGCCCCGTTTTTGCTGGACTGCTTCTGCATTCGCTTGTCATTGTGATGCAATAATTGTTGATTGAATAACGCTATTCTTTGGCCATTATGCGTAATTATCAATTTGACTTTTCCTATTTGGGATAAACACACCTTAAACTTGAATGCCAAAGGCAAACAGAATTTGCCTTCAAATTCTATGTTTTAAAAGAGAACGTAACAGTCGGCATACAGACCGACAGTGAAATACCCTGCACACAGAAGTACCCAAACCAAGATAAACAAACCAGCTGATGAAGTTTGAGGGTGTAGTTTTACGTATAGTCTATTAAAGGATCAACTTATTTGGACAACATTGAAAGAGGAGTTGGAAGAGAACAAAATGAACGACATAAAATAAGCTTGTGTTGCCGAAATATTAGGATAGTGTGGGCTCAGCCATTTACGAATTCTAGACGTTCATCCAGACGGACATTTAAAGATCGATTTCCCTCATCATGCTGTTTAAAAATATATGTACATATACACTTTCAGCCTTCCCTTCGGGAACAGGGTACAGTGTCTGGGCTCTAAAGTTGTCATTAGAGCTTTTCCCATTTCTGAATCTCATGCCACGTGAATCTCATGCCACGCACCTAATCTTAATAAATGTGAAAACTGTGAATTGAAAGGCGCATGTATGTAGATATTTAGCCGTATATTTGGAATACTATGGATTCATGACTGCAATCTACAAGAGGATCGAGTAAAAACCAGAACTAATATAAGCTTCTCCTATTGCAGTTTTGGGGACGAGTCGGTCCCTCTCTCTGCCAATTCCCTTGATCTTTCATAAAATGAGAGGAGCACGAAACTGCTCTGTAAAATGGCTGATTTGCGGCCGCTAAACCCAATTTACATATGCCCTTGCTAACAGGAATTGTGAGTTACGACAATGACGACGACCAAGTTAACGACAGAAACACCAACAACAATGAAGCGTGAGCTTGGCAACACAAAGGAGCAACACTACTATAGTAAAATGAAAGGGATATATAAAGAGCGTAAGAGAGAGAGAGAGAGAGAGAGAGAGAGAGAGAGAGAGAAAACATATTGGAGCAACGTGTGACGGGTATTTGTGTTGCCGACGGAGAAGTTGGCGTCGGCGTCGACGTCGACATCGCAGGCCTTTAAGCGATTGCGAAGTGCGCGCTGAGACGAAAACGAAGAGACAGCAATGAAAAAAGCAGGAAGACAACTTTCGCTGTTTATGTACAACGGGAAATGTGTATAAAAGACACCAACAATAACAAAAAAAAAAAAAAAAAAGAAGTAGAAGAAGCAAATACACACATGCACATCGAAGCCGAAGTATCAACATCAGAAGTAATATACATAAAACAGGAACGGACAGGGATAGGGACAGCAACGGCAACAATAGCAACAACAACAACTCCAACAAAAACAGCAGTGGCACGTTGCGTTTTCATTTTGTTTAGATTTATACCGAAATAAATTTAAATTGTACACAAATAAACAAAAAGTGTAATGAAAAAAACAGACAGACAACTTACCAAAAGGCAGCGCGGCGGCTTCAATTGCGGCCAAATGGAGCACACGCACACGAAGAGACGCACGTGTATTAGTGCGTATATACATATGCGTGCGTGTATGTACGTATGTGGATGCCGTTGTGGTTTATTGCAGTGCCAAGTGGAGCGAAGTGCATTTGCTACTAATATTGCTTGTGTTGCGGCATGCAGAGCAATAATTTCAATGTTGTAGCGCCCTTTTTTAGTTTTGGGATCACTTCACTTTCGAGCGTTGAACAAAAATCAATTTTGTTATGCTAAAAGAATAGACACAAACAACCGCACATAAGAAAATTAACAATTGCATTGACAGGAAAGTTCACTAGGGCTCATGAGATTGTTTATCGCATCAAGCTTTTTTTCGCTTTTCCTCTAAATACTGTTGTTGCTATGCCTGTGTTATACGATTTACGCAAACGCAATAATTAAATTAAATATAAAACAAAAAAAAAAGAATTTTGCACATTTTGCCAAATTCACGATATCATCAACATCTCTTTTAAGTTCTTGTCGCCGTTGCTGCTGCTGTTGTTGTTATTGTTTTTATTATGGTGACACTGGCAACGGTAGCAACAACATACAGCAACAACGTACTCATATGCATGTTATATACTATTCATAGTATATACATATGTATATGTATACACGAGCATTAATTGGCGGCGTCGGCGTTGGCCACAAAGCCAACGACAAGAACAGAAACAACAACACTTCGCAATAAGCTGCGGCTGCCAATAACAATTTACGAGCGGGGCGGCAAAGACCCTAACTATAGGCAACTGTAGGCTGTTGCTTTCTGTTTAATATTATTTGTTCATCGCTCCGCCGCCAATATTCTCAATTCACTTCGTTTACGTTGTATTTGAACGCACTTCTTGCCTTTCTCACTTCAGCAAATTATTACACGCACATTACTCGCGAGCGGCAGAAATTTGACTTCTATTGCCAATTATTTTATAGCTGGTGTATTAACATTTAATTTGGTTTAGTAGTTTAGCACAGTGTTATACATTCGGTAGCAGTGTGTGTTGCGTTTGAGCGTTACAAAATTAATTATGTTTTTTTTTTTTTTTATACGAAACTGCATCCGCTTGCAACGAAGAAGAAAAGACGTATGACTACAGTGTGACCATATCTGAAACGCGCTACATAATGTACTTTGGGCGAATGGATGAAAATGCCAAAGTGTGCGCAATTATGTCGCACTCACCAACACTGACAGAGCGCAGCATTACAAAAGGTTGCCACTTTCCTCGTATTGTTATCGATTATCAACAGCTGAGTGAAATCGGCGGCGTAAATAAAATATCATAATGGGAGTTTTTTAATAGAAAAAACAGGCCTAAATTCCACAGAAACCTGTCAGTGTTTGAAGCTCAAGCAGATTCATTCTATATTCTACTCTACCTCCATATTTGGTGTATCCATAAGAATTTAGAGTCCAGCTGTTTCATGTGCTATACGCACACTGGTCCATTTGACATAGGTACATAAATACATAAATGTATGTGTGTTTGTGCATTAAATGTGCATATTTATGTATGTATGTCTGTACTTAAGGTGGCTCCACACGATACAATAGCGTTGTATGGTATGATGTTAACTTTCCCCATTTTTTGTACATTTACACATCTGCTTTATGTGTCCCTTTAGAATAATTATCCAGAGTATTGGGCACCCAATTTCCCTATGTATATATATATATATATATGTATGTTAAGTTCATCAGGTTCTGCTCAACTGTCAAAATATATTCAAACTTCATGGACTACCTGTTACATATTCGTCATTTCGCTTAGTCGTCATCTGGGTTAATACGTGTAGTGTCTACCTTACTTTCAAGTGTTTGCGCAAAAGAAGTAAAAACAAAGCCAAAAAAAAACGTAAAGCAAAAGGCAATACCGTAGAAAAATTCACATATTGTGGCAATCGTGAGGCGATTCACACGCTCAGTTGCAAATGTTTTAGAAATTTGTTTATTAGGCACACCGAATATTCACACAAGTTGTAGATAAGCGCTGCCTACTACTCTTGCCGTACACAATAATTGTAAGTATTAGAAAAAAAGGAAACACAGAAACCCCCGAACAGAAATCATTGCTATCAAAAATTTATTGTGTTTGTTTGCTGGCGTCTATTTGATTATCAGCAAAAACGCACGTACATACAAGCAATTTCGCTGTGTTCCCCAACCTTGGGGTCCGCCGACGACGCCGTCGTCGCATTTTTTAAGACATTGGGTATGACATGAGACATAATCGGCACATTAGACGGCTACGTAATTCGCGATAAGCGCACATAGAAAACAAAACCAGGGGACAGGGACGCCCCCCATCAAGATGTCCGCCGCTTCCGACGAGCTCACAGGCGTCGCCACAGATAAGGAGAATATATTGCGAGGTCTCAACAAGCTGCGCAACGAATGCAAGCTCACCGATGTCACACTTCTGGTGGAGAACGTTCGCTTTAAGGTAAGTGGCTCCATTCTTGTGCAACACGCAATGGCGTTCATGCAACTCTTTGTAGGCTCATCGCGTTGTGCTTGCCGCCAGCAGCGACTACTTTTGTGCCATGTTCGCCGGCAGTGCCATGATTGAGTCGCGCACGGAAGAGATTGAGCTTCATGGTGTATCGGCACGCGCTATTGGCGCAATTATCGACTATATATACACATCGGCGTTAGAACTGAATGTGGAAAACATCGAAGAGTTGTTAGCTGCCTCCACCCACGTTCAGGTGAAGGATGTGATTGAACGTTGCACTGCCTTTCTTGAACAAAAGATCAACATGGACAATTGCTTGGCTATTGCCAGCCTGGGCGATATCTACAGCCAAGACAGACTTGCAGAACGCGCCTATCGCTTTATATGCGCCCACTTTAAGGAATTTGCATCATCGTCCGATTTCAAAGACATTAAGGTGGATCAGCTCCGCTACGTACTATCCTGCAACTTCCCGATGGATGTGAGTGAGCACAAGTTGGTGCAGCTGCTGTGCGTATATGGTGTGCAGCAGAAGCTTGATGATGCTAAACTAAGCGAGCTGTGGCATCTCGTCCATTGGAATCACATTACGTATAAGAATATAAAGTCATTACGCCACATAGTTGTATCGGTGGGCGAGGGTGCTCCTCAGATATTGCCAGTCTCTTGCTATTACCGACTGAAAAAGGAGTATTTAAACAGAATGAAACAATATCCCATCCTTAGCTCTATCGTCGACATAGACCCTGTCCTTCAGGGACCGGTAAACGTACGCGGCATGGAGCTCAGCCTTCTCAAAATCGGAGGATTCGAGTATAATGGTCTAACTAATGGGATTATGTGCTTCTCACCATCGCTCATGAAGTGGTTCGAGTTGACAACCATTCCCCATCTTGATCAATGTAAGTCTACATACTAGTTAGTGATTTTATTTATAAATGCGCTGTGTGTTTTGTTGCAAGTAGGCATGTAAATGTAACCCATAGAAAAGAAGCCCCTTTGCGTAGAGTTCTAGAGCCGTGTCTTTATGGAAATGCTACAATAACTTAATTTAAATAAATAGTTAAATAGGACATGGGCTTCTTGGGATCTCTAAAGAAATGTGCTTCGTAAGCTACATACATATATATGTATGTAGATATGTGTTTTTGTCCAATTATTTGTTAAATCATTCCGAACATTCACTTTGCTTCAACTGCGATATTATAATAATTAATTGCTTAAATCCATCCTACTCAATCAAAAAAAAAATCAAAAGCGATTTCCATCAGTTGACTTCATTATGATCGTTCTTTATCGCAAATTTTAGGCAACTATGGAACTGCCGTTCTTAAAAATGAGCTATTCATTGTTGGCGGTGCCTACGATGTGTGTCTAAAGGAGTACATCCACCCCTTTGGGTTCCGTTATTGTCCCTTACGAAACCATTGGGATGGCATGGCACAAATACAGTTGGATCGCTGTCGTTTCTCTCTAAATGCCGTGGGCGAAAAACACCTCTATGCCGTTGGCGGCATCGTCGAGAACGATGATAACAACTCCGAAGATCTGTTTAGTCTCCACTCTAATGTAGAACGATACGACGTTGAGACCAATAAATGGACCTACATGCCTAAACTGGTGGAGAATCGAAGTCAGCATGCTGGCGTCACCGTCGGAAGCAAGCTGTATATATCGGGTAAGTAATTGGATCGTACAGATTCAACAATTTTTCAACAATTCCCGGTAAAACGATCTTCATAGACTCAAGTTCTTTCCGAAAGTTTTAAATTGAAAAAATTGAATTCTTTATACACATATACATTTCAAAATAAGTTTTAACGCTCCTGTCATTCCGTAAAACCTGAAATCTGCGGTACTCAAAACAGGCCCGATTGTTCGTGAAATAGGGCATATAAGCTATAATAATGGCTATTTGAGTTGACTGACCTCCACTTTTCATTAGGGTCAGTGATGATATAAAGAAAGTTGTACGTTTTATAAATATTTTAGACAAAACTCCAAACGTAGACGAAGACACCTTCTTAGCTCGTTAATTCTCAACATTTTATTTGATAGTGTTCCACGAAATGTAGCGACCATTAAGGGCAACAATTAATTTGGTGCAAATCATCTTTTGCACTTGAAGGGTGAAAGGTGTACTGGAAAGTCTAATCACCCATTGCATGTAACATCAGAGCGCGGGTTTCAGGTGCAAAATACATATTATATTTTGTGTCCGTGTAGCGATAACTTTTGAATAGCTACGAACTCCAAGTTTGGAATATTGACCGAGCTTAAGACAAATTTTATATAGCCGTGATAGGAACAATAATTGCAGCAGAGGGGGCACTTTATCGTTCCACTTGTGATATTTTTAAAGCCAAGCCTCTGAGTCTAATATTTATCTTTTCTCGTTTTTAGGCGGAATTCATCTGGCACACATTCTGTCCTCATTGTGGTGCTTCGACACCGAAACCGAAAAGTGGGAGGAGCTGGCTCCAATGCCCAGACCATGCTGTGATCATGTGCTCGTCAATGTCGGCAATCGCATTTATTCCTGTGGCGGCTGGTACGAAAATGTGAACTCATCCCGTGTGCTGGAGCAATGCATTTATGTCTATGATATAAAGTATAACTTTTGGGATGTCGAAACACAAATACCATCCCCGAAATTCTACTCAGGCGTCTCAGTGCTGCGTCACACAATCTTCTTCGTGGGTGGACTAGACCCCACAGAGTCTATCGATCGTGCCTCATCGGAAACCATGGCCTATGATGTGAAAAGAAAGACTTGGTGGCGTCGTGAAGACTGGTGGGACACTCCCACCCATGTCTGGGAAGCTACATGTGTTCCTTTATACGTGCCTAGCCCTAGCCCTAAGACATAATGTATGCTAGACAGAGACAGGGGGCTGAGGAGCACGCGTTTCCTTATCAATCGCGCGATGCTTAAGAGACAGATGCATGGAGAAGTAGTGCGAAAGAGAGAGAGAGAGAGTGAGAAGGAGAGGGAGAGTAAGGGAAAGAGAAAGATAGAGAAGGCGAGTGATAGGGAGATGCAGAGCCCGAATTCGTGTCTTTAAATAAAGCCCAATGACTTAAAGATTAATTTATAAAATTACCAGATGCTCAACCGACGGCCAATTCTTAAAACACTAACTTATAAACTAATTTTAATTACATATCCAATCAGTAGCAAATAATTAAGACTATTTTGATATGATATGTATATTTACATCGTAAGCTGCCCAGAAAGTGCCCTGAAGGAGGCACAAAAGTACTCCGATTTTCATGACATTTTCTACAACACTGTTATGCGTTACAACAATCTCAAATATTATTTGTTTGTAAACAATTAAAAAAAACAAAATCTGCTGCCAAGTGGCCAATGAACGTCCCCACTGACCTGGAGCCTTCCATCCTAACTAACTTTAGGAACTTTACTGTTTTTTTTGGCGGCCGGAGACTGTTGGGTTAGCCTTGCCCGAACACATAGATTTTTTTACTTTCTGCTGGATCATTGGTAGCGCGTGGTTGTCCATGCGGTGGTTCCCTCCCTCAGCCCTTCTACAAAGCAAATGCACTCGATGTCGGGCGACTGTGATGACCTTCGAGTGGTTCAGATTGGAGTAAACTGCTGCTTGACTTTCCGAGCAAATGTAAATCGGCCAACTATCTACTGTGGCTGGGGATGTGTCGTGTGGCCTCCATTATCGCAGTAACTTCCGCTTGCCAAAATATCCTTTAATCGATCAAATTTTGCTAAAATGCGGATACCCTTGCTACCGAAATCGAAGCATACGAAGCTACGTAGTGTAGTAGACTTTTGGAAATCGGGTGATTAGATAATTGTTCACACTTTAACATTTAAGTAACAGACGTAATTACATATACTTATACCTCCATCTCTGTATTACAAAGAAAATTATATTCCTCCGTGGTCATGTACTGCAAACTTTATACCCTACTGTGTCCCTAATATTCTTAGTTACGAAGTCATTTAGTGATTCTGAATATTTGGGAATTTCGTTTTCACACAATTTGATCTTATCCGGAATGGGAATATTGGACGCAATTTAAATTACTGAAACAGGTTGGACCAAAGTTAAATTTTTCAAAACTATGCTTTTTCAAAAGGAGCTTCTTGAAAAAATAGAAATAGAACTTTGAATACAAAAAAAATCTTCTTTAAATATACTCGTACATAAAATGAACAGTTCCATGAACTTTTATCGAAAGAATTAGATACAAGTAAATTTGTAATTTAGCTATTTGGTAGCACTCATATGGGAGGCCAAACAAATGAGTTAAAATTAAGAATTATACAACATTTTAAAACAGGTGCTAGATCGCATGTTATAGATATGTATATATGTAGGTATATGACCAAAATCTTTCAATTACTTCCTTCTGGCGGACTAAGTTAATACGTCCAGGCCGGCTAGTAATCGTCGTATGGCTGGCATAGAGACTATATGATTTGAATAGTGAATTCCTATGAAAAACTTGACTGCTAATAAAGACAAGAAATTGGAACGGAGTTGAATTTTTAGAATAGTGTCGCGAAATGGAAAAGAGCTTAAAAATTTGTTGAACGAAAGTTTAGATAGTACGGAGGTAGTAGCGTACAACTTTGGACAAAACAAGTTCACATTTTTTTGCAAATCAAAAGCAATTTATTGGGTTGTGTGTATATTTACATGCTTAACATATTTTATATAATATATTTTTGGTAAATGTGACTCAAATATTTTAGTTTGCTTGTGTTGTTACATCGCACTCATTGCGTGCAACAATAATATTAAAATGACAAAATGTTTGCTCTCTTTTCTTTAAATACACAAGACATGACGAAAGACGCGATTAAAATGAAACAAGCGAACCAGTACACTCTCTTTTCGAATCACATTGGTTAACAAAACGGACTTAGATGCGAAATTAAAACCTAAACGCTTACAGTAGAACATATATGGCTGGTATTTATATGCACAGACATACACAAGGCTATATAAATACATATATGCACATACTCGTATAATTGCAAGACTAAAACTTATGACTATAGCGTTGCATTCGTTATATCGTACAGCTAAAGGACACATACAAATACACTGTGAGGGACGAACTGCAACAGAGAGAACATACGAGAAGTACATATCCTATACAAGTACATGGCTACAAATCTAAAAATTCCCAAGCTAAGACTGATTGGTGCGTGCGGAAATGGGCGCTATCACCACCCAACCATCTTCTGCCTCCCTGTCCCGATTTGGCAAGTTGCTGCCGATCACATCCGTATTGCTGACGCTGTTGCTATTGTTGCCACCTCCCGGCAGGTGCATGTTCAGGGCCTGGCAGGGGGGCCGCTTCTGCCACTGCTGTCGCAGACTATTGTACAGATCCTGTAGATCCTCCTAAGATATAGAAAAATTATTATTATAGAATTGCGTATACACATGTTATATTTGGGTTGTCAAGGCAATTGAATTATCGTTAATAGTGCACCTTATGCTTGATTTTGCGCAACAGATCCTTTTTATCTTCACGCTCCATGCCATCCATTTGCAGGATCAGCTTCTCTTTAAAGTCCTGCGCGTAGTAGAGACTTGTGTCCACTGCCAGATACTCTTTGGCCATGTGACGATGATCGCGATAAATCGCCTGCGACTCAGCATTATTTGGTATGGGCAGCACGGGCTGCAGTTCGGGGTCCAGCATCTCGGCCAGTGATTGATCGGTGCCATCATTCTCCTCCATATCGGCGCAACGGTCACTATCTTCATCGTTGTTGTCGGCATCGTTATTGTCGTTAGCGCCTGTGGTGGTGGTGGTGGTGGTGGTGCTGCTGCTGCTGTGGTTGTTATTATTGTTGTTATTGTTATTGCTTAGATCTGTAGCCAGTGTGTGGCTTGGGGCAGTCATTATCACCGGCTTGGTGTCCGTCACTGTGAGCCGTTCCTTGCCATCGCTTTTCGCTGTACAAAGAGAGATAATCAGATAAACAGTTTGATTTATTTCCGATAGAGATAGAACAAAATATATTTAGCATTTAATTATAAGTTTCTTATGTTCTACGGAGGTCGATAATATTACTACACACCCAATCAAATATCCTAGTTTGGCAGATCATTTACAAACAAAATTTGATTTTTTTTTTAAACATTATTGATCTTTATTGAGTATATAAGCATCGAAGTACATATGTATATCTGTTAGGTGCTTTATTTTCTCATGCACCGCGTTTTGGATAATACTTATTAGCGAACCAACCTACAAATTTGTGATTAATTGAACTAAAGTCAAAAAATTAAGTAATTTGAAAAAAGGAAGTAATTTTAAAAAAAGTCCACTTATCATTATTTTTCGGAGTTAAAAATCGCTAACAGTGCAAGGAGATTGCGATCCTGGGAAATAAAATGGCGACTAACGAGCCCGCTTTGTAAAAGTTATGTGTTTATATCGTTTGTTGATTTCCTCTTAAAAGCTTTAAACTGATCGATTGAAACTGAGAAACCAGGTCGGGCTATTACTTATGGATTAGGAGAACATGTTAGGTTTGTTAGGTTTAGACCTATAGTTTCTACTTGGTATTGGAAAGCTACGAGTATAATGCCAAATATCTAAACAGCTCACAGCTCGGCAGTCTCACATATCAGTATATCTGCCTACCCTGCTGTTCTAAAACGGATTAACCCAAAGATCTATAGATTGAAAAGAAGCTGCTTTGTCTTAGCTCGTCTCCCAATTTTGTCCTAAATGTGTTTTCTTCAAATTAGACTCATTCTGTAAGAGCATTTTCTTTATAAACGAAAACTTATTCACACTAGCGAGCAGCTCTTTATGAGACCGGGTACAGGAAGTCTAATAGTCGGTGGAGGAGAAATTCCCCCAAATAATTTTGATTTGGATTAATGTGTTTGATATAATAATGAATGAATGAGTATTGGGTTAACACAGAGTACATATTTGATTGTCACTTGAGATGCAACGATTATAGCAGATAGATAACACCTACTGTATATAATCCAACAGCTGTGCAGATCAGTCGTTTGCTTTGTTGTTATTAGTGTACGCGTATCACACATTTTGGTAGTTGGAGGGCACTGTTTTTCGAAAGGAGGCGCGAGTCTTTTGGTTTGATGGATTGACTGGACGACTGTTCATTTACACAACAACGAGATCATTTTTGGCTCTGGACTTGTTTATCTACACAAAGACGCAGATACTTGTATGTACGGATCTATATACACGGCAATATATACAAGTATGTATACATTTCTTCACTTCAAGATTTCTCGTAACAGTTCAACGGAAAACGCACGATCTACGTATCTATGTGTATGCTGAATGTAAAATACGCGACGAAAATCCCTCACATTGGAAAGCAAACAAAAATCGACATTTTCTACATTAAGCGTAAACGATTTTTGGTTCTTTTCTTTTCTTTTTGTATGTACGAGAGTATGTAAGTGTTTGTGTGCTTTGCAATGACGTGTTCTCACACAGCTTTCCTGGTTGATTTTCCTCGGAAAATTTCAAAACCAAACAACGAGTATATAGTACCAACAGATATGGAAGCCAGCAATTTTCAATTGAATTTATAAGGTTCCCCGTTGGCTGAACATTTGCCTAATGCTTCTCTTGAAAGTAATTGAAAGAGCTATTAACTATGGCTTTTCTATTTTTCTTTGCATGGCAATTTTAGTGAAAGGCTTGGCGATAATGTAGAGGCCCTGCGGTGACAGCGACGACTCCGTTTACGTCTACGAGTACGACAAACAGTTGATGAACTTTTCTACGATGCGTTGGATGCGATTTCAGTAACATTGCGGCCATTCAAGACAGCACGGCGCTCGACGGCAGACTGAGCACTCAATTGGGACTCGGAAGACCACCATGTGAGTTCAACACACACGAGTAGTCTCCCCCTCCCATACACACACACACACACACTAACACACACACGCACACAGTAGAAATACGGAGAGATGAAAATATAGAAAAAGAAAAATCAAGCGACGAGGGACCAATGCTGCCGATCATCTAGATGATGACGCGCATAATGCCGTACGACCAAAATTGTGGCATCATCACTCTTTGTGTTGGGTTGTGTGCGTGATTTACTTGGGTGGGTTGATTCACCCAGTATTCTCACTATTCCATCGGATTTGGAGTCGGTGCCACACGTCTAATGCATGCCACAAATCTAAAGACCTGCTATTTAGCACAAGTACTATATATGTATTTGTTGTCAGTGGATTTCGAAGTAATTGAATAATTTTGATGAAACAAAAAATACTAGGCAGCCGAACTTGGTAGTGCTGGGAAACGTGCCTGTTAGCTGTTGTCAAAAGATTTTTCCAAGAGACTGTTCCTTTAATTAATAAGCTATTTACTTTCCCCCAAAAAACATCTGTTGATAAAATCTTACTGATTGGATACCACGTTAACATTTGACCAAAATGAAAAACCACTCAAGTTTCATAATAGATGATCAACAGTTTTTTAAGACCACTTTGAATCACTTTGAATGGTCCTTTTATCTAACTACCATTCCTACTGCCAACTGATCGACTCAATCTAAAGAACCCAAAACATCAAATTCAAGGGTCACCTATTCCTATATATATTCTGCCATAATAACAGAAACGAACGTTTCCAATTGTTGAAACAGTTTTTTGAGAACTAATAGGGGCAGTGCCGTTTTCTGTGCAAACAGAATTAATTTTTCTTCATATGTGGTCTGGTCTTCAAACTGTTTAAAAAAACTATGCAGTGCGATAGCGGACCCCGAATAAAAGGCAAAGAATATAAAAAAATAATACACTTGACGCATACTATCTATAAGAGTATATTAACAAAATATTCCATTTCTAAACACTTTTGTTTGGCGGAATGAACCCTTTCGAAACTGGTTAAGATACTACAAAAATCGGAGAAGCCTACTACTGTCTGTTACATTCTATGCACAAACTTAAAATTGACTGCATTTCCAAAAAATTATGTTTTCAAAAATGTTTATTGTGCTCTAGCATTTGCTTCTAAATGCATCGTAAAGTCTGAATTGCTTCAGGCGAATATTAAGAAAAAAAAAACAACAATAAAACCGTTTTCTGCTTTTTAAAATCTTTGCTTTATATTTCCGAAATAAAAAACGCATTTAATAGCTTCGGTGAAACGCCATAATCGTTCAGCAACTTCGGACTATGGAAAAATAATTTGTTTTATTTTTGTTTTTGGTATAGGTGATGATTTTTCCCTCCTTTTTATTGCTGTAATCGGCGAATATCATTATGCATACATACTTGTACATACATATACAGGTACTTTTTCAAATCTACACATTGAGTGTGATTTGAACATCTTTTTTCTTGTATTCAGATTATAATAATCTGGTCTTATGGTCTTATTAATTCTCAACAGAACTCTCTCTCTCTCTCTTTAAGTTACAATTAGTTTTGTGGATTTTAAGATTATATGGTTTTTTTCCTATGACAATAGCCCTTGTTTGATAAGAAAGTAAAAATAAATTTCCAAGATGGTGACTAGCATCTGTGATTACGATGCCATTTCTTCTCTTATTTGTAAGCCTGACACTTTTCCTCGAATCTGATCAGACCCCTATATCACACAATAAGTGAAAAGTGTTTAAAAGTTTCATCTATTTCTCAGATTTCGTTGGGATCAAGAGTTTGGAGGCGATTAAATGACCAGGTTTTTATAGCTGATAGTTGATCAGAAAAATGAAAGTAAATGAACTCAGACGTAATTGTTGGCAGGCAGACTTCCGATTTTTGAAATCTAGTTCAAATCAATCTACTTGGGGAGAGCTGGTGTCAAAATGATGATGAAGTCTTTTAAAATGATTTGTTTGCTTTGTTTTTTAAATTGTCCCCCTTTTGGAATATGCATTATATGAGTTTATATGCATACATACATATGTATATTCGTTCTTGCTTGAAACATTTATAATTATTTGCATATACATATACTAATTTCGCTTAAAATGTTTCGCTGTCAACTAGAAAACTGTGCAACAGCAGCAGCCAAAATGCCTCGCTCGCTGGTTGTCTGTGCCCATTAAATGAAAATCTCGCTATGTTTTTCCTTTTTTATTTAAATACCCTTCGTTTGAAATGGAAGGGTACATGGGAACTAAGTATATATGTCAGACTCCTGGTTAAGGGCAACCAATTGGTTAGAACAACGAATTTAATCCACATAGCACTATGTTTGAATCACTAAAGAAACCTAATAGACTCCATCCGACTGCTTTATCATAGAGCTGTCGTAGTACAGTTTGAAATGGAAGGGTACATGGAAACTAAGTATATGCCAGAACTAAGTGTATCCCGGTTAAGGGAAACAAATGATTAGAGCAACGAAACTAATCCACATAGCACTGTGTTTGAATCACTAAAGAAACCTAATCATAGACTGCTTTATCATATCACTGTGTTTGAATCACTAAAGAAACCTAAAAGACTCGATCCGACTGCTTTATCATAGATTGCTTTATCATAGCACTGTGTTTGAATCAATAAAGAAACCTAATAGACTCGATCCGACTGCTTTATCATAGCACTGTGTTTGAATCACTAAAGAAACCTAATAGACTCGATCCGACTGCTTTATCATAGACTGCTTTATCATAGATTGCTTTATCATAGCACTGTGTTTGAATCAATAAAGAAACCTAATAGACTCGATCCGACTGCTTTATTGTAGAGCTGTCGTAGTACAGTTTGAAATGGAAGGGTACATGGGAACTAAGTATATCCCGGTTAAGGGAAACAAATGATTAGAGCAACGAAACTAATCCACATAGCACTGTGTTTGAATCACTAAAGAAACCTAATCATAGACTGCTTTATCATAGCACTGTGTTTGAATCACTAAAGAAACCTAATAGACTCGATCCGACTGCTTTATCATAACACTGTATAAGTATATCCGGGTTAATGGAAACAAATGA